ACGATTTCAGATGTTTGGGATTCTTTTGTGTCTTGGCGAAATTTGATCTTAAACATGTACAATATTAGCGTAATTGCGTGCTTGGATTTTATTAACCGGCGCGTTACGATTCCAATATCTTACGCTTGTTCTGTTAAAAAAGTTAACATGCTTCACTGTAAATGACACTGAGAACACAGAGTTTATTTCTTAATGATTTTCTTTGCATTCAAGTTACTTTGTCTACAGTATATGTGTATATACATACTGCGCGCACGCACGTACGCACGCACGACCAAGCATGCATTTTAACTTTTTTCGAACGTAAAAAACATAGCCGCAGCCCCAAGGTTACATGGCTTTAAATTGCGGTGCCCGTCCAAGTTTGACACCGGCTTTACTGATTCTGTCTGTGAGTTTGTACGTTTATGCGGAATCACAAGCATATTTACTTCATCTCATCTCTAAGGTAATAATTATTTTTATTGCTGCTGACGCTGCATATTTAATTGTTTACATTTCCTATCGATACATTCATGTCGACTTGCATTTTATTACACATACTTTGAAATAACTTTTCTTACGTATCGATTCGACAACATAACAAATTTCCAATTTTCCGACGGGTTTCAACAATGAGAGGGGGGGGTCTGCCAATAGGGGAGGGGGGGGGCTTGAAATCCCGCTTAAGGACAAACTGTTGTCAATATGCAACTATTTATTCTGTCATGCACTTTAGTGTCGACGGTTTTGACTTTGTTTTAGGTTTGTCCCTAGAAGACACTAGGGCACCGGTTTGTTTTATAGGTTTGTCCCTAGAAGATACTAGGGCATTATAGAACTGTGTCTGGTTACATGTAATACTTTCCGTGCATTGTTATATTGTTTGTAAACAACAGTAGCCAGTGGCGGCGCCAGGGGGGGGCAAATGCCCCCCCAAATTATTTTTTGCCCCCCCATTTTGCCCCCCCCCTCAAAAAAAATTATTAGTCACTAACAGCGACTAAAGGCTACACAAGCGTTCTGTCGTTATCGGAAAATGTATGGCTTATAAGTTGTCATTACTCATTAGTGAATGCGAAATGTTAGTTTGTAAATCTCTGAATGGTAAAACTTGCCAATACTCCAATAATACGTTTCAAAAAAAGACAAAAAAGCTTTAGTTTTGCAGAGTTAAATTCTCAAACGTGTAAGGCAATAATAAGATGCAAGTATCACGAAATTATTTGAATAAACCACATCGCATATATGGGGGCGAATGTCCTAAAGAGGGGCGATATTCCTAGGATATTCGCCCCACCCCCTGGGAGGCGATATTCCTAGGATATTCGCCCCCCGGGGGCAATATTCCTAGGAATATCGCCACGTTTTGAGGGGGGGGGGGGTGGCGAATTTCCTGGGGGGGGCGACCTTTTTAAAAATTCTATCTTGCCCCCCAAAATTTGAGTTTGCCCCTCAAATGCCCCCCCAAATTTGGAAGCCTGGCGCCGCCACTGCGTTTATGTAAATGAACGTGATTTTTTATCACATATAAAACCACGACATGCTTATGATTTTTCTTTATGTTTTGCTCCTGAATTATTAATGATTTTTGAAGAGTGTTTCAACTATGTTTTAACTTAAATAGGATACATGATAGTCAGGTTGGGAAAACATTAAGAACGTGTGACTGCAAACTCTCATCCTCGAAATGCTGGGCACATAAATAAATTAAAACGACGCCGGACGTCAAAAACTTACCGCGTGTATTAAACGTATCGAGTTTTGGACAACATTTCATGATGGTGTGAAGGTCAAAGTTGTCGGCGTTCTTCAAGACGAAGTCACATTTTGTACAAGCGTACGTTTCGTGTCGTTTGTCTGTCGTATTTCGGTAGCAAATTACACTTTCATGGCATGCTCTTGTCTCTGGATAAGCGAAGCAGCGACCACATATACGGCATGGGTACGTTTTTGGTTTGAAATTCCTTCGTTCTGTAAAGCAATTCAAATAGAAATCTTTAGACTTTGAGTTTTTCATGTTAATATCAAGGTTTGAGTCTGAACCACCTGAAAAAGATATTTCAAACGTGGTGGTCCAGTGTAGGTAGTATTCTACAATAAGCTGCCGTGGTTTGTGTCTGAACTAAGAGCTTTATCGTTTAACATATTATACATATACGTTCATTATAAAACACGGGAATTAACTCACCGTCGTTAAACACTTTCGCCGCATTTTCTGTCCCTCGTTCTTCTCCAAAAACGTCCTTATTTACGCACGAATTGCTAATTACTTTTACAATCTCTTTAGTACTCGCGACAGCCTTGCCAATTGCCCCTTTCGTAGTGGAATTTTTAGTTGTGGTGATGAGGGTAGCCTGACTGTTGTCAATGACATTCGTGGTGGAAACGTTTGCGAAATTAGTTTCATTTGTTTGATCTGGTGGCGCTGCATTTTCAGCAATATTTTTAATCTTTAAGACCACTTTTAAAGGACGTTCCTCTTCCTGCACGGAGTTACTCAGTTTGACGTCCTTTGGCACAGTCTTCTTTTTAGTACACGAAAGTTCGTTGTTTTTACTTGTGTTTGAACTTTGAGTTACGCTCAATTCTTTTCCTAGTAATTCAATTGAGCTACGACACTCTTTTTCGTTGGTAATATTGATCAATTCCGTTTCTTTTTTGATAGTTTTTAGTACTTCGTTTGTAGAAACACCGTTTTCATTGCTTGTGCCAAAATTTAAAGTTGCGTTTAAAAACTTTAAATCTTTTACGCGTTGGTTAGCTTTAAGACTACTTCCGTTGTCCTTACTAAAACTAACAGTGCTTATTTCGCTATCCCTGTTTTTATTTTCAATTTTTTTGTTCTTGTAAATAGTTTCGATATTTTTTTGCTTCAAAGCTCGCTTCAAAGCCTCAATCTTATTTGCGTTTGGTGCTTTTTCGACCACTTTTTTACTCTTTGAATTCTTTCTATTCAAAAACTTGCTTTTTTTACCCTCAAAAGCATTCTCAACGATTTTCAGCTTGCCTTCGTCATCCGAAGATCCTGGGTCATTTTCGCTGTAAGTCGTAGTACTTTCGGGCAGGTTTCGTAGCATGAATTCGCAAGTTGCGGGACATGAGTAGAGTTGATGGGTAGCTAGGGTGAAAGGAGAGATGAATGGGGTTTTGCATCGATCGCATTTGTAGTCTAAATGTGAATAGGAAAGCAAAACGTAAAATCAGAGATGCCGAAAATCTGGCCGGCTTCTGTCTGACCGAACCCGGGTTAAAAACCTACCTTCCTTGCTGAATAGCACACTTCCTCGACGTTTGTGCCGTATGAGATGTTGGTCCAGAAACCAGTTACTGTCAAAAGTCAATCCACACGGAATACATACGAACAAAACGCATGCCTGACATGAATAATTTTCGTGTTCGCGCAAAGTTGTCGCGTGCACAAACGATTTGCCGCAAGTGAAACATTCAAGATACGAATCTGAAATCATAAACGAAAAAGAAACTCAGTTTAAAACAAACAGTTATAAAAACATTAAAATTAAATTTTTTCTCTTCTTATGAGTCATTCTATATTCAGTTTTTACTTTTCAATATTTTCAAAAAACGAACGACGCTAGCAAGTTAGCAAGTGTTGTGCCGCACACAATATTTTACTAAATATATTTGTAATTTGCAATATAAACTTTATAAACGACAAAAACAATAAAAGAACAGCGGAAATAAAAGTACAAAACTCACCGTGTGAAGCCATATCTTGCATTTTTTTCGCTTCAAAACGTTTATTTCACAGCCGTGAAAAATGTTATGAATTTGAATGGCGTGCGCGTTTGCGTCAGCTTAGCCTGCGTGCAGGTGGTTTTTCCTCAAAATCACGCAGGCTGATTCTGAGACAAAATATGAAGCATACATGAAGTATTGCGTACACATTTTTACTCACAAGACTATTTTTATAATTTTGAGAATTTCAAGCAAAAATTACTCGTTTTTTCCCTGTGGTAACAAGCTGAAAAATACTTACAACATTAAAGGACACTTTGGTGTGTAAAAGGTTGGTTTTTACTGTTTTTAAACCTGCTGTTATGTACAAGGAATTACGTGCATGGGAGCCATATAACTCAGTCCAATATTGTGCTAGCCGCTAGGGCCTAGGCATAGAATAGATATCTGGGCCTAGGTCTCTTCTTAACAATCTGCTTGCGTTTTTCCATTGCGCATTTGTACCTTGTCTTTTGCGTGATCTACACTCTATGTATTCTTAATTCCTTTTTTCAGGTAGTTGCATCCTAGTATATTCCCTACCAACCAAAGTATTGTTTAAAAAGTTTAATAGTAAATGTATAGAAAGCATCAAAATTGCACGCCCCATATCTCTCAGTTGCGCGATACAAACTTTCCACACTGGGCATCACTCAGTTATCAAGTATGTCTGGGTTTGGGCTGTGTGGAAAGTTTGTATCGTGCAACCGAGATATCAGATGCACAAATTTGATGCTTTCTATATATTTATTATTAAGTTTTTTAAGTCTCGGGTGCATGATTTCCAAACTTTCCAGTCAGGGATTTGGGCTAATACAGTCGGTTTAACTAATGGTTTGACCAACTCTGCAATCTGACCCATAATTTTTGCAGTCAAACCGGATGTTCTCTTGCGAGCAACAATGCAAAATATAATATGTCCCACAATATTGTAATTTTGATAGGCAGATTGCTCTGAGCAATTTGCAACTGACGCGAGCAAATTGCAAGTTGAAATTCAATTCTCTGATTGGACTATTAGCAAAAAGGAAGCCAACCAAATAGTCTGAGCAACTGGATTGGTGCTTCCCTCTTTCTTGTAGTCCAATCAGAGGCTTTGTTTACAAATCTTTGTGAATTTCAACTTGCAGTTTGTTCGCGTCGGTCGCAAATTGCTCAGAGCCACCTGCCTATCAAAATTGCGATATTGTGGGACAATACTGCAATGTTGCTCACAAGAGAACATTCGGTAACATACCTTACCATCAATACTTGAACTTCTAATATTTTAGGAAAGTTTTGAACTAACTCAGTGGAATGTCAGAGTTGAACATTCAACAATGTGATAATTTAACCAATATTGTCAATGTGAGCCAAGAACCCGACGCTCAGCTTGATCCTCGGGTGAAAATCTACTTGAGCTTGGAAGCGATCTATGACAGTGATTCGAGTGAGGAATACTCAGACGAAGATAGTTTGAGTGAGTACTCCATGGACTATGAATATTCTGCTGACGCCAATAACTATAATATGAATGTATCAATGAATAACAACACTTCACCAAACAACTGTAGAGGGGACATTGGTTCTTCCCATCAAATTCAGATTCCGTCCACTGGTCGAACTTGTACATCTGCCAAACCTAGCAACCGGCCACCCCCGCCTTCCCGAGATCTTTACAAGTCCCTTATCAACCAATCAGAGCATCCAATGAAACCTGTCCAGCATTCCACAGGGGCTTATAGTTATTCGAACATACAGGGTTCATCAAGCGGGCAAAAAACAATGTTGCAACGCTCTTTAGATGCCATGAGACAAGTTGGTAATCTAAGAGGTCACCATGACTCGGCTGCTGAGGTGATGCATGTAGCAGGCAATGGTGGAAATGCCCGTGGTACTATGGCACATCCAGCTAACCAACCTCAAACAACTTTAGGAGAGCCCCGATCACCTACCTTTTCTTCATCCCCAAGGAAACAAGAGTCTTCAAAATCACTTGCACCTTCTTGGACACACTCATCAACGAGGCAAGACAATTCTCTACACATGCTACACTCTGCAGCATCTCAAAAACCTACATCACCCACCAATGTCCCTAACCAAGTTGCATTATCTACCAGTAGCCCTGGCCATCATGCGTTACCCACAACTATCCACAAGAGGCCACCACCACCGTCGGCAGTATTCATGCAGCAAGGACCTTTGCCAACCAAGTCCCAAAAACATGTACAGCATTCAAATATACCATTGTCTCATCAGAAAGAACATACCTCACAGTATCCTAGCAACCAGAACACAGCAATTTCACAGTATCCTGGCAACCAGACCAAACCAACACCACAGTATCCAAACAGAATGCCACCACCAACACAATTTCCTACCAACTTAACCACCACCCCTTCCAGACCAGCAACTCAAACACCAGAACAATCAGTTGAATCAAAAATCATTGCCTTCCTCCAAAGTCAGGGACGTCCTTGCAACACAAAAAGTATCAGGTTGTCACTTGGTGCTGGTTCGAAAAAAGAAATAAACCCCATTCTGTATTTGATGCAACGGAAAGGAAACATTGCAAAAGTTCAGGACTCACCCCCAACATGGAAACTTTGCCAGGGAAAAGGAGTTACTACTCCACCTTCCAGCATCCAAAACCCACCAGCACGAAGCCTTGGGCGTGGTTATCCAGGCTCAAATGCATCGTACATGCAAACACCATCTCAAGTCCAATCACAAGGACAAATCGTTGGGCGTGGCACTCAAGGTCCGAGCGCATCTTACATGCCAAGCCCAGCTCAAAACCAATCTCTGACAACTCAACCTAAACCCCCCAAACCAGCTGGTGGTTCATCCACTACCGGCAAAGATTTCTTTGAAGCATGTTTTACGTCCATCAATAAAAATCCCGTCAGCGCATTCAACAATTATGCCCAGAAGAATAAAAGCGAAGCAACTTTTGAAATCATTTCCCAAAAGACTACTGGCAAACCTTCGTTTACCGTTGCCGCCAAACTTGGCAAGCACATGTTTACCGCTGTTACCGCCGGCAACATGAAGGAAGCAAAACGACAAGCTGCTGATGTTGCACTTCGAGAAATTGGACAAGCTTCGGGATCCGGTCGTCCCGATTCCACAGATGGAAAACTCGATCTTAGCAATCTACCGTCCATTCCACGTAACAACACTTGGACACATTTTGACTGCATGGCTGCATTAAGCCATCAGCTGTTTGCTCGAATCGCCCCGACCGTTTCGGCTTCGTTTGCCGGAAGAAAAGTAATTGCTTGTATGCTAATGAAACTGAGTAGCCAAGATCCTGGACGGGTTATGAGTTTGGGTGCGGGTAACCGATGTATAACTGGGGAACGAATTAGTTTGGAGGGTAGAAAGGTTAATGATTCACATGCTGAAATAGTTGCAAGGCGAGGACTGATCCGCGTGTTTTATAAAGAACTCAGCAACTGCTTTGCTGGAAAAGAATCGATATTCGTGAGGAAGGGAAGCGCGGCCAAACTTTGTCTTCGAGACGGGGTGACCTTTCATTTATATATCAGCACAGCCCCATGTGGAGATGGAGCGCTATTCTCTCCTAGGGAGGCGGGGGGTGTGGTAGCTGGGGGCGAAAACCTGACCCGAGATCACACCCCAACCTTCACCTCGAAGCAGCAAGGAATCCTTCGCACAAAGATTGAAGACGGCGAAGGGACACTGCCCATCGATTTTGACGCACCACCGCAAACCTGGGATGGCTTGCTACAAGGGGATCGGCTCCGGACCATGTCATGCAGTGATAAGATATGTCGATGGAATGTGCTGGGACTCCAAGGAGCCTTGTTAAGCCATTTCATTCAACCTATCTACCTGGATAGCCTAACTTTGGGCTATTTATACGACCACGGTCACTTATCACGTGCTGTGTGCTGTCGACTCCAACACAAGAATGACCTGAATGACCGGCTCGCACGAGGATACCATGTGAACCACCCGTGCCTCGGACGTGTTACTGCTTACGATCCCCCACGTGAAACAGAGAAAACCAACAACATCAGCATCAACTGGGCATTGGGGGACAGCAATGCCGAAGTAACAGATGGAAGGGACGGGGCTTGCCTAACCCGAACCGGCAACGCACCGACCCCGTCACGCCTCTGCAAGGCGGCGTTATACGGGAACTTCCGAGAGCTATGTCGGAGAGTACCGGAATTGCAACATCTCCTCAAGACGGACTCGTACAAGGAGGCGAAAACTTTGGCAGAAGATTTTTGCCGTTGCAAGAAAGAAATGAAAGCTCAGTTTAAGGCATCGAAGTATAGTCAGTGGGTTTCAAAACCGATGGAGCAGGATTTGTTTAGTGATTCTTTGCCCGCCTTGGATGTATAGAATTTGTCATGTTAAAGTTCACCATCGTTCTATCACCACCATCATTATGCTGCCTCGTAACGGCGTTAGGATAGGAGATCGATCGCATGGGCCGTTAATCTGACGAACGAAAATATATAGAAACATATACCCAATAGACCTTATGCATAATGACGTCACAAGGCTTGATGCCCACGAGGAATGCTGGTCTTAGTAGTCATCGCCACGTAAATTTCGATAGTGGCCATTTTGAATTGTTCAATTTTCCCGGGCGATGACTACTAAGACCAGCATTCTTCGCGGGCATCAGGCCTTGTGACGTCATTATGCATAAGGTCTATTAGCCTGACGACGAATATCCGCCATTTTTGGGTGGCATTTAATTCTTGTTAACCAATGCAGACTAGACAATTAAAACAATGTGAAAAGCAATTTTTCAAAATAAACTAACCATTTACAAAGCAAATTTACCATCATTCGTTCAAAAAATTATAAAAAGTCACTGTTGCGTGGACTTATCTCGTAGACGTCGGCTGAAAAGCCACCCAAAAATGGCGGCGTGAGAAAAGCTATTGCACAACGTTAACGTTGGATAAGTCATATGCCTATAGTTACTATTGTAGAAAAGAACAAAGGTAACTAAAACCCTGGGCAAACTAGGAAATATTGTTGTGGAAACATTTGTGATTCTCGATGTTTCCTCAAATGTTTCCCTGTTTGCCCACCCGTAGAAACATTGTTGCGGAATCAATATTTCCGCAACAATGTTTCCTAGTTTGCTCAGGGCCTAAGCTTGGGAATTATCTACATGAGTGAACGATTCTAATGCCAGTTACATTGTTCTATTTTCTGCCCATGTAAACTGGAACAATTGTAACTAGGCGTGTGAGTTATCCAACTTTGTGAATTGGGTGGTAACAATGTAAACAACGTTAGCTGAATTTTTTATTGAACTTTAGTTGTAGTCTTTTTAAAATCGTTATTTTAAGAAAAGAAATTTTACAGTAAATACATTACATATCAAGTGATTTAGAAATGTGGATATAGTATCGCTATGAATCCCTATGATAATAATAATGAGTAGTTTACAAAACAGAGTGTGGTTGCCTGGTTACATTTTGTGCACTACCTATACTGTCACAGATCCTCCGTTCAAGATTTAGCCAGAAGCCCCGAATAAAAACCCTCGAAATACTAACACATATACAGGAAAGAATTCAACTATAACTCTACATACGCCCCCCCCCCCCCCCCCCCCCGGAATTCGCCCCTGGTCCCGGCCCTGGACCTAGTTCCCAGTCGGGAGACACTGGTAAGTTGAGAATGATTCGAGCAAAGAAAAAGACTTCATTAATGGGTGATCCCAGTTATAGATTAAATTTTGATCAAGGCAAGAAGAACGAAATCCAACACCACAGCTAGAAAGAGCGTCTTAGAATGAGTAAAACTGCAAAGATTTGGTTGCTAAATGTTGTAAAATGAAGAATATGTAGCCCTGTGAAGTTCGCAAATTTTGTATATATTTGTATTACGCGCGGTAAAAAGGAGCAATTTATTTTAAAAAATAAATTAGGATTAATAAGAGGCAACATCCATACCGAAAACTATGTAACCTAAACGGAAACGATAAGCAAAGAAAACAACCGCCTTGCTCTCCGGGCAATATCTGCCAAGTTTCAATGCCAAATTGCCAATATAATCCCATTTTGCTAAGCCGACATTCTTCATTTATCAACAAAAGCTAGCCAAATTTTATCTCAGTCCACTCTGGTTTCAACGGTCTTCGAGACAACATAAATGGAAAATCCCACCCACCCAACCCTTTGATGAAGAAGAAGCATCCAATAATCAGGAACTATAGAACTTAATTAAATATAGGAAATCAATTGTAATCATATCTATAATATTGTTCTGTTTTATCAACTTGTAAATATTATACATTCAAGAAGAAATAAAGAAAGCGGGACGGAAAGTGGTGTCCACACGGCCACACTTCGCCCACGGTGAAGCACACACCGGCAAAAGAGAGCAAGGTCCATAACGGCGGGGGCCCTTACCCTCGTCCTGATCTTCGCATCTCTCGGTCACTTCACCACGGGGAAGCCCGGCCCGGACATGAGATTCAATGTCCATAACGGTGAGGGCCCTTACTCTCACCCTGATGTTGTTTCTCCAGCTTTTCTGGGGGCCCTTACCCCCAAGAAACCGCACTTTCCGTCACCCAATTTGGCCACAAAGGATTTGCGTGATTTATTAATAACCACTTTCGGCTCAAAAATGGTTATTTTTTCCCGCGCAATATATACAAAATTTGCGAACTTCACAGGGCTATATTTTCCTCATTTACAACAATTCGCTTTAAACCAACTTTGCAAATTTACTCATTTTAAGATGCCCTCTTTCCAGCTATGGTAATGATTTCGTTCTTCTTGGAATCACCATTAAAACTTTAAAATGCCGCAAAAAATTCCAGCATTCGTGCAAGCTAAAAATTAATTTAACCAGACTTTTTAAAACTTTGTCAAATTTCCGTATTTTTTGTCGCGAAATTCCCAACGGTAAAAAAGTGTTCTTTAAATTTTTACACCCGCTGGCTTTGCGCGATAGCGGGCGCGCTATGACCATATAAGGTGCTTGATCGTGTGGTTTTTAAATCCGTTAACCAATCAGAAGGCGCAGCGTTAACTTTGAAACGTGAAATGAAATTTGAAATTTACACAAATGCTGCCGGTGTTCGAATGAGTTACAAGTATAAAATAGTGTTGTGTTTATTTCGTTTGAAAGCATAGCTTTTGAGTTATTCAGGCGTTCCTTTTAGCATTTAAAAGCTTCGTTTATTAATAGTTTAGTTTAAGGTCGCTTTAGGATTTAAGTTTGTTTTAAAATCGTTTAAAAATATCATGTTGAAGAAAGGTCCCACTTCGGTAATGGCGAGACATGTGAAGCAAGAAGATTTCACATCGCGCAGTTCAGCCCCGAAAGAAATCGGTTTAGAAGTCACAGATCCAAAGACGAGAAAGAAATACATTCGTGGGAAATTCCTTGGCAAGGTAACTAACAAAATTTTGAAATCGTGACTGTTTTACAAACGATTATCTATCGCGAAACGCGAAGACATATTGTAACGATCTCGATAGAAAATACACTTAATTATTACTGCTCGAGAATTTACGTCCTTCTCTTGCAAATTTTAGGGAGGTTTTGCCAAGTGCTACGAGCTGCAAGATAAAGAGACGAATCACGTTTATGCTGGCAAAATCGTGCCAAAAACGATGCTTACAAAACCGCATCAAAAGGAAAAGGTATATATTATATTCAAGTTTAAATGTAGAAATACAAGTACAGTTTTTGCAGTGTATGTCTGCTTCTTGATTCTACGATGCTTCGGATTCTATAAATCTAGCTGCATAGATTTCCAATCTACTGATTTCTTTTCTTAGATGGCTATGGAAATAGACATACATCGAAAACTGCACCATAAACATGTCGTTGGCTTCCACTGTTTTTTTGAAGATGATGATTTCATTTATATTTTACTGGAAATTTGTCGTCGACGGGTAAGCTTAGAAATGAAACTTTTAATATACATATTTTTATGAAACAAATTTCAATTTCTGTATAGCACAAGGTACAGAAATCAGGGGCCATTTATAAACGGTTATTTTTGAATTTCAAAAATCGGATGTTGTGTATCAAATTAATTCCCACCCACCCTTTGTTTTATGAATGTAAGCTAAAGAAATATAAAGAGAATAATTCCTTAAAATATATGGAAAACTACAATATAGTACACATTCATGACCTAATTGAAAAAATTGTGAAAAATGTTAGGTATATGTGCCTTAGACCACTTGCGAGTTATGCTGTAATTGTCAAGAACAACACCATATCCGGGGGACATAGCCTCGTTCTCAGGCTGTTGTTTGTGGGCATTTGACCATATGTACTCGGATTGTATGTACTCTGAGCACTGGCTGGGCTCAGATCCCAGCTGTTCGGGTTCTAACCACTGGTCTACAGAAACCCGATTTGCTGTGCCCACCTTTAATTGTACGTACATTTCTACACATTTTAAACAGTCGCTAATGGAGCTACACAAAAGACGAAAAGCCCTTACCGAACCCGAGACACGATACTACTTGAAACAGATTCTGATTGGCTGTATTTACCTTCACGATGCAAAGATTATCCACCGAGATCTCAAACTCGGTAACTTGTTTCTTGACAATGACATGAACATCAAGATCGGTGACTTTGGTTTGGCCACAACTGTACAGAGTGACAAGGAAAGAAAACGGTTAGTTGGTGGCAAATGCTAGGGTGGCGGGGGGGGGGGACAACAGCAACAATCCCCCCATCCATCAATACTTTTTCAAGTCACTAAATGATCAACTTGTTTGTATTTTCCCTTGAATCTAGAACATTGTGTGGGACTCCAAACTACATAGCTCCGGAGGTTTTGAGCAAAAAAGGGCACAGTTTTGAAGTCGATGTTTGGTCATTAGGTTGTATCATGTAAGTACTGTACTGACTGTTTGTTGCATATATGTGAGAAGATCAATACTTAATCCAGTTTGATTCTACCAAGGCAAGCACCATAGATTTTTTCTAGATACTCCAGTAATTTCCTCTTGTAGTAACACCGGATCAACAATGGATGCCCCTTACTGAACCTTTAATCTGCTACAGTTATTCATTATAATTGAAGTTAGTATAGTACTTTAGTCCATTTAAACTAGCTAATTCTGTCTGCCATGATAGGTACACTCTTCTTGTTGGTAAGCCACCATTTGAAACGTCATCTCTCAAAGAAACGTACAATCGTATAAAGAGAAACGAGTATTATATCCCCTCAAAGGTCGGATCCGTTGCACAAAAATTAATTGTAAAGATGTTGAGGCCGGACCCTGTCACGCGTCCCACCATGCACGAAATATACCAAGACGAGTTCTTCAGGTCGGGCTATCTCCCCACGACCCTCCCTCCCTCCTCCCTGTCCATGGCCCCGAGGTTCAACACTTCCATCTTGGAACCCAAGGCGGTGGGCGTGGCTCAGAAAGACGCCAAGGTAGTCGATGGTAAAAATGCGCTCCAGAGACGGCCGTTATTTGAGATCAACCATTTGCAACCGCCTGCCTCGTTGGCCGTGAAGCCGGAAGAAAACCGCAGACGTTCGCATGCGATGCATGTTCTCAATGGCGAAAGTCGTCTAATGACTTGTGAAGAGGCGAAGAAACATGGACTTGGGGAGGACGAAGGTGCGTATCGTAGTTTGCAGCTTATTCACGCGAGCGTTCTGCGCCAGCGTTTAGGCAGTGACAATCAAGCCTTGAATCTTGATCAAACAAAAATGAGAGTCCGGATGAGATTTGATTGAATATTATCGCGCGCGTAGCGAAAGCTCTCTTCAACTCTCGTTATAATTTGAACCAGTTTATTGTCGATTTCAGGTAACTTTTCAACACGTTGTTCCAAAGTTGAACTTCGCAACGAAGTTCGCAAGTTCATTTCAAAGTTCGAACTTTGATTCCGTAAACAAATGTTCATAGTTGGTCTTGAAATTACTGTATAAGGCCCTATGCACATATTACTGCAGTAAAATGTTGGTCCAGTGGTCTCCCAAGACGAAAATGCCTTTTTAAATAAATTTACAAATGAAATTTGTACATTTGTTTACAATCGAAGTTCCAACTTTGAAATGAACTTGCGAACTTCGTTGCGAAGTTCCCGCTCAACTTCCGAACTTGATACCGTATAAATTGGCAAGTTCGCAACGAACTTGGGAACAGTGACAGTGTGTTGAAAAGTGACCTGAAGTCGACAATAAAGTTGATGCGAATTGGTTATCAAACGCGCGAGTGAGACTTGCAACTCTCCGGCAACCTCGTTTGACCGGCGGTTTAATAAGATGAGCGGGATTGGACGACATGAAAAATACAAGTCATACAAGCGAAAACGTCGACGTCTCGAGAAGACCCGCGAAGGCCCTCCTTCGGCGGCAAGTTAGGGCTTTCGCTCGAAACGTTGTCGTTGACGTTTTACTTGTATTTTGCAGGTATTTGAATCCCATTCGATCCGTGAAGCTTTCTGGTGCAGCTTATTCAGGCTATGTGCACACAATGCCTAGTGTGCATATCCGTCCAATTTGTACGGGAAACCATACAAATTTGTGCCGTGCGCAAAGGGTTTATTTGTGTTACTTTATACTTGACACATATGTATTAATTAAAATATTGTTAAATCTTAATTTTTAGGTGATCTGATTCCAACTGACTTTTATTTGTCTGATTTGTGTAAGCAACTTACCTCTTGCTTGGCGACCAAGCCTGCAGAGGTGACTAGTGCCAGGCCAATTATAAATCCAGGTAAGTGCGCGCAAGGCATTCAATGCAAGGCATTCAGTCCCAATAATATTAGTTATTTTACGTTTTTCTGTACTTGACACGCAGAGAGGACAGTTTAGAACTGATAGAGATACTATCCTGTATATTAAATAAATTTGGTTTAGGTTTCCTCCTGTAGTTACACTGGATCAATAACAGATGATCCTTACTGGACCTCCAGGAAGAACAGTTTAAAACTGATAGAGCTATTCAGTATAAATAATGCTTAGTTTGGTTTAGGTTTCCTCCTGTAGTAGTAGCACTGGATCAATAAGAGATGACTCTTACTGGACCTCTAGGGAGAACAGTTTATAGAACTGATAGCGCCAGTATCTTGTATAAATAAAGTTCGTTTAGTTTAGGTTTCCTCCTGTAGTAGCGTTGGACAATAAACGATAAGTGATGATCCCTACTGGACACACAGATATAATAGTTTAGAAGTGATAGAACCATCCTGTGTCTATCTAAAGTTAGATAATGAAGACGTTTCAATTTTCGCCCACAGACGATGCAGAAGACCCAGCCTGCAATCCTATATTCTGGATCAGTAAATGGGTAGATTATTCGGATAAATATGGCCTCGGTTATCAACTGTGCGATGGCAGTGTCGGGGTGTTATTCAATGATAGTTCCCGCTTGATTCTCAAAGAGGACGGAGAGTAAGTAAAATATTACAAACAACTTGACTCCGCTACGGCGCTTCTTCATACGTCGCGAAACAATCAGTTTCCTTGCTTTTCCACCTTCGGGAAACGTAGGAAACAATGTTTCCTGGTTTGTCCACCTTCGGGAAACGTACCTAGGAAACAATGAATGTTTCCTGGTTTGTCCACCTTCAGGAAACATGGCTAGGAAACAATGTTTCCTGGTCTGTCCACCTTCAGGAAACATGGCTAGGAAACAATGTTTTCTGGTTTGTCCACCTTCATGAAACATGGCTAGGGAACAATGTTTCCTGGTTTGTCCGCCTTCGGGAAACATGGCTAGGAAACAATGTTTCCTGGTCTGTCCACCTTCAGGAAACATGGCTAGGAAACAATGTTTCCTGGTCTGTCCACCTTCAGGAAACATGGCTAGGAAACAATGTTTCCTGGTTTGTCCACCTTCAGGAAACATGGCTAGGAAACAATGTTTCCTGGTTTGTCCACCTTCAGGAAACATGGCTAGGAAACAATGTTCCCTGGTCTGTCCACCTTCAGGAAACATGGCTAGGAAACAATGTTTCCTGGTTTGTCCACCTTCAGGAAACATGGCTAGGAAACAATGTTTCCTGGTTTGTCCACCTTCAGGAAACATGGCTAGGAAACAATGTTTCTTGGTTTGTTCACCTTCAGGAAACATGGCTAGGAAACAATGTTTCCTGGTTTGTCCACCTTCAGGAAACATGGCTAGGAAACAATCTTTCCTGGTTTGTCCACCTTCAGGAAACATGGCTAGGAAACAATGTTTCCTGGTTTGTCCACCTTCAGGAAACATGGCTAGGAAACAATCTTTCCTGGTTTGTCCACTTTCAGGAAACATGGCTAGGAAACAATCTTTCCTGGTTTGTCCACCTTCAGGAAACATGGCTAGGAAACAATGTTTCCTGGTTTGTCCACCTTCAGGAAACA